TTATTTTATTTTTTAAATTTCTTTATAGTTAGAAGTATGTAGACATATAGCTTGAAATGCTCACTTTCTTCACTAAGACCACAGAAATGGGAATTACACAGGGATTCAGCTGAAATGTTTTCTCTTACTTGAGTAGGGAACAGGACTTATTCAGGAGTTGGCAGCAGTTACCATCTCCATGTAAAAGCTCCCATACTTTAGACAAGTAGGGTCAGCTTCTAGGATGGGGTCTTTCAGGTGCTTATATGGACTAAGCAGAGGAGAGCAGCGTATGTTCCAGATCACTCCTTTCCATGTCTGCATAGAAAATAAGCTATTCTGCTGCTCTGTTTGACCTGTTGGCTGCCTTCACATAAGGTAAACGATAGTGGATAGGGATCCTAACATTAGACCCAAATTTGATGCCCTTCCATCATTGCTTTTTCCCCCCTGCCCCCTGTTTGCGTATGTTCTCACTACCTAAACAGCTGGTGTTATGTCAGTGTTATTTTTAGAGTGTGGTTATGTTTATTTAATTTAAAGTAATTGTTTACTTTTGGGTTTTTTGTTTTTGTTTTTCATCACCAGACCTTGGGCTTCTATAATGACAGAGGTGACATTTCTTTTCACAAACTTCTGTTATTGAAGCCATATAACAGTTTAAGTCAAAGATACTGTCAGAAAAAGCTGATTTCTGTAGAGCTACAAGATGTACCTGAGAAGCCTGTGCCGTTGCACAATTAATCTGCCAAAGTTAGGGAGTATATACTGCCATTTTTCTCTCTCTAATGTGAATGGTAAGTTAAATGTGGGTATTTAGAGTAATGATGGGCCACCATATTTTTGAAGAGGATGTGCAATTTTCTTGCTTTCCTCAAAATGCTTTGCAACTTTGTCCTAAAAGGAGGTTTTTTGAAGAAATGCTCTCTCAGTCTGAACTCTGTAGGGGAGGGTCTTGTACTTTTCACAATCAGTGGCCTTCTTGTAAGCAAGCACGACTCTGTGGATGGATGTATAATATTTCATTTTTACGTCTAGATGAGCTGTTTGGGTTATTTTTTTAATAGGTCATGCTTCCTTACGTTGTTTAGAGAAAATGTATTGGAAATCCAGAAGCCTTTCCTAACTGCTGAAAATATGTGTTTGACCTTTTCTAGGTCAAAAACAACACAAGCCACTTCTATTATTTGAGGTAAAATATTTGAGCCCAGCTTTGGGTGATAAGGTTATTTTACTCCTTTATCTTGCTTTGGAATCAAGCAAAGATTCACCCCCTTACCCCCCAAATACCTGCCCAGATAAACCTAAAGTACAAAGAGACTTCATTAGTGATTCACTGAAAATTGAAGACTTCTGTATCAGATTGGAAGGCTGTCATGAAATAATTGCATAGGTTAGTGTGAGAATTTAAGATCCTTGAGGAAGAATATCTAGCATTTGTGATACTTTTTATCTGCCTAGGGTACGCAGGCACAGTCTTGATGCTATGTTTTATGTTGTAAGTGGGGACGTTGGAATGAGAAAAGGAAGTTTGAGAGGGCATCTGCCACCTTTATTTTTTTTTTTCCCTTTTTTATTTTTCCTGGTAGGATACCACAGCAATTTTGGAATGCTTTCAGATTGCTAGGATTTTGAATGGATGCCATTTAGGCTAGAGCTGTCAGCCTCTGCTCTGTAACTATTACTGTTTCTTTATCCTGCAATGGCTGTTTTTTACTACTGTGCTGAATTTCACACTTCCCTATATGCCTTCATATCACCAATGAAGGTAGTTCCAGCTCAATGTTTGCTTTTAGTATAAAAATAAATGAAAATGTGTGGAAGCCGTGAAACTGGAGAAGAGGCAGAAATGAAAATAGTAAGGCTAGATGATGTTTATGAAAAAACTAAAATTTACATTTAACTTTATTTGATTTGTGAAACACTTCGCTATGTCTCCTTAGAGAAATTCTGTATTAAAAGCCACATTCTTTTTAAGTGGTGTAGTTTGCTTTGAAGGTTGCCACAACAGAGCAATATACTTGTTCTGCAAATCCTTACTCCTTTATATAATTAGAAGAAAGTAAGTTGTTACAGCTTTAATAAATCGTATGTTTTTTCATAGAGACGTACAAATTTGAATTACAACAAAATAGAACTGAGTTGATAATTTGTTACAGATTCTGTAAGAGAAGATGTGGCAGGCTTGTTTTAGCTGTTTTATTAGATTTTTCAGATCCATATGTTTTTTCTTTGAAAGGTGTAAATTTTAATAAAACGAAGCAACTTTTCTGAATATAGGGACATTTGAAGGTCACCTTTGGCCTTGGGTTTGGGTTTTTTTTTTTGCTTTTAAATGGTTTCTTAGGTGTGTATATTTGTTCCTTTTTATAGAACATTAATAGTTTAAAGACATATTTCTGTCTGAGGAAATAGCTGTTCTCTGGCTTTTGGATCTTAGCAGATCTCTAGGTATATTGAGACCAGATTGTATCCATCCTTTCTCCCAGTTCTTATATTTGTGGATGAAGAAACTTTTATTATTGTGAAAATAATTTTCCATCTTTTTTTTTATTTGTTGTTCAGAATTAGCGAATAATAGATCTTTTGTTTTTCAATAAAATTTGAGTTCCTGACATAATCTATGTGTTCATCTTTCAATATTAGGACTCATTGATCCTTGAGAAGTCTCAAAATTGGAGTTCCCAGAAAATGGATCATATTTTGATTTGTTGCGTTTGTCTTGGAGATAACAGTGAAGATGCTGATGAAATAATCCAGTGTGACAACTGTGGAATAACAGTACATGAAGGTAATACCACCCTTCATTCTCATTGCGGGAGGAAAGCATATACTTTGCTTTTAATAAAATTTTGACTTGCTATCTTCAAAAAAAAATGAAGCCCTTGAACTCTGGCAGGTAATTTTTTTGTAATACTACATGGATCCTTTTTCGTGGTGAAGCATCCATCTTCTGCTTCAGCGAAGCAAATGCAGGCAGCTACAGGACATGGTCTACAGATGCCTATATCTTGAATCATAATGTGCAAATTCTGGAGCTGTAGATTGTATTTCTAGGGCTTTAGGCTATTATATTAAATGTATTTTTGTCTTACCTACTTCAGTGTATGAATTTGATTGGATTGCTATGAAAGAAGAGTGTGAGAATAGGAGGTCTTCTAAAAGCAAAGGTTTTTTACATACATTTTTACTGTACCAAGAAAAGCAGAGAGATGGGAAAATTGAGAGAAAGGAATTGTCTATGGCATTTAGTTATAAGTGAAAACAACTTGCCTTAACTTTCCCATAATTTTTCACTGACAATTTAAGACTGGGAAATTTTAAAGTTAAAACATACTGAAATTGTTGTTTTGCTAATTGCTTTGAAATCTAGTCTATATGTGAGTCATCAATGTAGGAGGTCTGGTTTAAAAGAAACACTTCCAGAATAATTCTGAGGTGAGCAGCTGGAATTTTAACAGCCTTACATGGAAGGTGAGGGTGTGTTGTCTGTTCCTTCTTGTGACACGGAAGATAGGGTAGATAGTAACAGAGAGCGGCATACCTGTTTTGTCGAAAAAGAAAGCCCCCTTTTTTTTTTTTCTTCATTAATAAGGGTGGCTTTTGAGCATTTTTTGTGGTTTTTTTGTGGTTTTTGGTTTTTGGGTTTTTTGTTGTTTGTTTTGTTTTGTTTTTGGTGTGGTTTTTTTGTGGAGTTTTTTGTTTGGGTTTTTTTGGGGCTTTTTTGCAATTCTGACATCCTGTACCTTTATAAGGCTTCAATTTTTTTTTAAAGTTTCCCAAGAAAATGAGATAGGCTGCTGTAATCCTTGAATTTAAAAGAAGATAGGCTTTCATTCTTCAAAAGCATAAAAGGCATTTATTTAATTTATGTAACTCTCATAACTTTAAAAGTTTTTTGAGCTTTGTCGCATTCGTTTTCAGGTAGGAAGGGCTTTCCTTAATCCCATATTCCCCTTTTATTTTCTCATACTGGATGGAAAATTATTTCAAAACAGAGTTTCTCATGCACTGAGCTGCAATTTAATTCTTTGCTTAATATCAGGAAACTGAGGATGGAATTTCTGTCCTCAGATTCAGGTGCCTTATGTTAAGTGTCAACATGTACTCTAACTCCTGAACTCCTGTTGCAGGCTTTCGCAGAGCTAATCAGTGCTGTCAATGGAGCTTAGAGAGCAGTTTCATTGGCCTGATTTACGATGAGCTGAATCACACTTTAGGTGCCTTTGAGGGCATTATTCTGGTCTTCATTGACTGCAACAAGTGTTAGACTTGTAAGTTTAAGTGTCATGGTATGCTTGCAAAATTCCTCCCTCTGTCTGTGAAGTTTTGGAAAGTAAAGTGCAGAATATATTTGATTTGAGAAGCAGTAAGCTACTGAAAGATAGTTTTATAGAGTCTTGATAGATTTTTTTTTTCTTCTCCTAGCACAGTCTAACATTAACTCGTGAGGAAAGAAAAATTGAAAGGAAGTGTCTTTTGATGATAGATATCAATGCCTATTTGAGAATTCCCCAAACACTAAATATAGTCAATACATCTAAAATCTAAACCTGTGGAGCTTCCTGAAATTTTTTCTCTAAGATTTATTAAATGATTGTACAGTTGTTCATGTTAAAGTGCAGAATGATTGTGATAGAAAAATGGTCTTCTGCCTTTATAGATTACAGTGATGGCAAATTTGATTTTTATTCCAGAGGAGTGCCTTAAAAATCCCTGAAAGATCACTTCTTTTTGTTTAGTTGACTAAACCTTTGTCCCTCAAAAGGTAAGATTATAGCTGGCTTTCCTCCACAGGAAAATAGTTCCATATTTCGGAAGTCACTTGAATTTTAGTAGTTCAAAATCTGTCTAAATGTAATTGCTGACATTCTTTTTTTTAAAGTGTTACTGGCAAAGATTTCCAATAGTCCCACTGGTACAAAAGTACAATGTGTCTGTTTCTTTTGTTGTTTTTGCAACAAAATAAAATAGATTAATTCAGAAGACTTTCTAGTTTATTCTGGTAAGTTCTGCTGTTTGTACATGTACAAGGTAATTGACTAAGGATATTTGATTTTTCACACTTCTGGTTGAAAGTTCAGCTGTTTAAGTTTTTTTTTAATAATAAATACTTAACACCATATGTGAAGCAGTTTTGAAGTTCTTTTTGAATAGATGAAGTCAGAAAAAAATGAGCAAGCTGAGTAGGTAAGAGTAATTGTTGACTGCGATAAAAGTGTAAATTTCGCCAACAACAAGCTAAACTTCAAATCTATGGTACATCCAATTTAGAAGCTTAGTTGACATTTTATGTGCATGTTTCATTTCCAGGTGTGTATATCAATTTGTATATACAGTAATATAGTTTTAAGTAGAAGTGAACATCTATTTTGGTGTATTTTTTCTGTACTTTGGTATTTCATAGTGATCAGTAAGAGCAGGTACTATTTTAAATCAGAACTTGCTTGCAGCAAGTAAAAATTTTACTAAAACTTTGGAACCTTTGAATCTTTAGTTTGAGTCAGTGCTCTTATATATACTTACGTTCAGCAGCTGGGGAGATTTCCGCACTCCTCTCCAGTGGTCATTGGCTCGTTGTATTACTTCTGAGTGCATGAGTAATAAATGAAGTTTATTTATTATTATTAGTCTGTGAAGAAGTTGCAGTCAAAACCAAAATGCAATGTAACGATTACTTTTTGTTCCTGTTGTTTTAATCATTCAACTTGGGTGATTTCCAAACACAAATAGAGAAGAAGTTGGAGAAATAATTACTGTCTAATCCTATAAACATTACTTGCCTTTGAGAATTATTTTTTAATATCAATGGAGGCAAGGTTTACTCTTAATATAATTGGCTTTAATCTGTACCTTATAACTGTGTGCCCAGATTGTAGACATAGACTGTATTACAAGAAGTCCTTTGTACTCCTATGCACAGCTGCTCTGTAGTTTGAAAGATGTGTTCCAGTAGTAGGTGAGTTTACCTTGTAAACACATTGGAATCCAGGAATTTGTTTGTATTTTTTGCAGGTTTCCTTTAGTAGGTAGATTGCTGTGGCTGCAGACACCATGCTCTGTCCTGGAACTTATTCTCATATTTGAGCTTTTGTGTTTTTCAGAAAATGCAGTTTGTAGCACAGTATTGAATGAAGAGGCTGCTGTTTATGAATTGGATAGAAATCGATGCAGTGAGGTTTACCTGTGTGTGCCTGCAGTTGGGAAGAATAATACGCTCATTTCCTGTGAACTGATTTTGGTACTTAAGTTGTCTTTTCCCTAGAATCTCAAGCCCTAGATGCCTGTTATCCTGAAATGCCCAAACAAAGCTGCTGGAATAACCCAGGGTTTTTCTTCATAGTTTTTGTATGCAGTTTCAAACTGTATTATAAATTGATATGTGTTCTCTACTTTTCTATAGCACTGTAGGTGATTACTTGGAAGAAAGTGTTCTCCTTTCACACCCTACTGGTGTCCCACTCAGGGACCCACATAATGATGAAATTTATGATTTGATTGTTCTTTCCCTGAATACCTTTTTTTCTCTCACCTTGTCGGCTGTTATAGAAACTGCTCCACTTCACAAGCAAGGCTCTTGTACCCGTGGCTTGTGCCTTTGTGCTCTGCTGAAGTGGAAGTTTCTGTCTACCACAGAACCTTTCAGGCGACTGGAAAAAGGCTTTTCTGTTTTGACCACTTCTGTATTTAATATTAAGTTATTCACTAGCCATGAAAATGCTGCCCTTGAATTGAGCCTACTTCTCTGGACACCATGGCTCCCTTCCTTTCTTGGATGGTCTCTTGCTCTACTTGTACCTGCTGGTCAAAGGCAGGTCCCATGCGATCATGTTTCCCCTTCACTTGAAGGTGAGCCTTCCAGTTGCAATCCCTAAGTGACTGCATGCAGGGATAGTTGTTAGCAAGAATCTGTTACCTTCCTTCAGAGAGTAAGCCAGTGCTGCCTTGTGTTCTAGACAGGCTTTAGATCTCCATTCTTCCTTGCTCCAGCAAATTTTGGCTTTTCTAGCACAAGGTATCTTATCACTGTGCATACTGCTCCTTTCTCATGCACCTGGGTACATGGTACTAGGGCTTTTTCCTTTTGAGTACTTTGTGCATTGACTGCTTGTTGAGTCATGATTTGTATTCTTTTTGGTTTGCTTGCTTGCATTAATCAACTATTACATGAGGTCTTCCATAGGAAAAGAGGGGTGATAACTCACCTGAGAGCAACTCTGCCAGCACTCATGTGGAACTCAGCCACATGGCCAAGAGTTAAGGAGGGATTCTGATTCAGACCTGGAGTCGTGTACCCTTAATAAACACTTTTACTTGCCTTACTGAGAAGTTTTGAGATTGCTAGAAATTCAATTTCTTTTCCAATGCAACTATTTGCTGTGTGATGTTCATATCACCTGCAAGGCCTGCATCACTTGTCCAAAAGCTATCTTTGCTCTGCAGACACATGTCCAAAAATCTATAAACTTTGTGAAGCAAATAACTGGTTCAAAATGACAGAAGTCTGTAGCTGCTTCTCAAACTACGTAAGTAGCATATATGTTATGTTAATGTAATACCACTCTTTTCAATTTTTTGTCTAAACAGCCTGTAATTAATTAATAAGTCCATCAATTAAAAATTTATTCTTATTTCCCATTCCTCCCCCCAAAAAAAAAGAAAGAAAAAATGTTTACATTTCTGAGGGAAAAAAAATCTTCTTGAATTTGTAGTAGTAGAGTTGCTTTTTGAAGTGTTTACTTCTGTGTGGAGATAATTCTCATTTCTTCTTATAAAAATCTTTAGGCACTAATCCATCATTTTAGGTAAAGGCTTTTGTGGCAAGATCTTTTAATGGCAGAACACTCCCAACTGTGGTGTCAGGTTTTTTGACATATTGATTGCAGTGTGTCTGAAGAAAATGCCTGGTGCATATCATAGCATGTGCTATGTAGGTAGTACACTCGCCAGCTATTGCCCCTGGGTTAGTTGCTGTGAATTAAATGAGGGGAGTTCTGTGTTTTTCTAGCTGTTTCTTTTCCATCGCATCTATTTGTTTCTTACTTTACTGTGATGTGTATGGCAGGGAATAAAATTTCTTGCTTAAAGCAATAGTGTAGTCTCCATATGCTTTACAGTGTAGTAAAATGTTTCTGCATTTTAATGTTGCTGCTTACCCTGGTCTGCTGGGGTCTGATATAAAAATTAATTTTGCAAAATCTTGTACTTCAGTACTCTCCATTTACTAAATAAAGATACTGGTGGGAGTTTATGGTGTGTGAATTGATTGATGTCTTTGTTCTAAACTGTTAGCCCAATTAAGGCTTGAATGTAACAGTTCAAATACTGTGCTCTCACAGCATTTATTTTTGCAAACCTACAGTTTACCTTAAAATTCATGTTTTCATGATCTTTGTAGTAAGATCATGGTTCAGAGTATATGTAGATGTAGTTAGCGTATGCAAGTTTTCTGGTTGGCTGGCAAAAGATCACCCTCCCAGTGAGACAGAGGAACAGATGCAGCCAAGTTCAAGAATTAGGTCTCTCTCTTCCTGTTTCCCCCAGTGGTATAAATTTCAGAAGAACTGTTTTAATGTTAGCATTTTAAAGTGTTTGCAATTTCATTTTAATGACAGTCACATAAAAAATATGCTGTTGACGGAGTACAGTGACTTTAAAGTCAGGGAATAAAGGAGTTCATTTTCTGTATAAATCACATAAATTACATAGGCAGTTGGCTGTAATTGTAACATATAGATGCAGTTTGTGGAACAGTAATTCTTGTGAGAATTTTAACTTGACTTTCATATGTTTAACTCTATTATGCTAAACCAGTTTTATTGGTTAGTGTAAGAGGTATTCAAAGAGGTGGCAGACATGGAGTTGTGATACAGTAATCTAAGAATGTACAAGCATGAGGCTTTAATGAAATTCACTTGAACAGGGACTCTCGGTTTTATTCTAAAGATCCAAAATTGAGTTTTTGTGAACATGAAGGAAAGGCAGCATGCATTTTAAGCAAAGTGTTTAAAAGTTGATTTATTTTCTTCAACTTATTTTCCAGTCAGAGGGGTGGGTGGTTGACTTAATGCCGAATAGATCACAGATACAGTGATGGTAACTGAAACCAAATGTGTTGTTTACAAGACGTGTATGCTTTTCTCTTGTCCTTTTAATCCTTTGGCTTGAGTAGAAAGACAGAGTAGGAAGGCTCGAGTAGAAACAATTTATGGTGCATTACCTAATTACCTGTTTAAAAGTATTGCCCATGAAGCTGAGTGTTGTCTCACTACTTGTATACATTAGCCTTCAGGACTAGAAGGTGAACTCTCCAGACATACTACGTAGAGTTCAGACTTATTTTGGAGCATAATGAAATTGGTTCATGCCACTACTCAGTCAAGAACATTTACAAAGTACTTTCTCTGAAACCTTGCACTGAAGTTTGTTATCTTTAACCACAAGGTAAAAAATGTCATGTGCATTGGTATAAGAAGCTACTACCGAGTGCAGCCTTTTTGTTGCTTACGTGGCTTCATAGTGGACAAGGTTTTGTACTGCAGCTTTGATCCTGTAGCTTTTTTTGGCAGGGTACACCGAGTCAATGGCAGTCTTATGGACTGGATTTCCTCTTCTTCAGCTCTGTTGGGGACAAGATTGTTTCAATGTATTTCTCAGCAATGATTAATGGTAATCTAGTCTATTTTCTGCACCTATTGACTGCCCCTTTTGCTGGTTGTAACAGTATGGTGTTCATCTTTTGCTAAGTGGCAGTTAGGGAAAAGAGTAAATACCTCCTTGTCATTGACTTATGAACAAGTTGGAACAAAACATTTGGGTTAAGAATCTGGGCCATTTTTTTAATCTACTTGTAAAAAGGATGTAAATTTGTATTGTTATAGAAACAATGTTTGATGTCAACACATATGATAAGTATGGAAATAATTACATGAATGCCATTTTCTAGGAAGAAATTTTTAAAAATCAAGTATAAATGACTGATAAGTATAATTTGGTTGCTATTTCAGAATGAAGGTAAGACAGTGTGGAGAAGTTACCCTTCTAATTTTAGCAGACTGATGGCACTTAGTTTAGAAAAGCAAATCTAATTACTTTCAATTGATGAAGAGCCATCAGTCAGAAAGAAACTGGTTTTATTTTGCATGTGGATTGATGGCAGTGTTACTGCTTCTTTACCGTTCGGTAATTTTTAATAAGTACATTAAGGAAATTAATATGTTAAGGAGTCTGTAGGAATTATAAAAAGCTTAATTACTCATCAACTCTATGGTATCAATGGGCTGTGTGTTTGTACATTAATGTAATTGCTTAAAAGTAGCTTCACTGGCATGTATTCAAGATTGTGTTATTAGAACTTTAAAAATTGCTTTCTAGAATACAACCTGAAGCTGCTACCACAGTATAAAGAAAACTGAGTTACCTTATGTGTGTGCTAATATTTTGTATTCCCACTGAAACTCATCTGTGAATGCACTTCTGCACATTACTTGTCCTTTGATTCTGGAATACTTTTATAATGAAAAGAAACAATCTGGCTTCTTATTTTAATTCTTATTGATGAACCTCATTCTGCAATGGCAGACTATATTTCTTAAACGGTTCCTACAGTGTTATTCCTTATTTCCTAAATGTAGTTCTAGTCTATTATGCAGTGCTCTGCTTTTGTCACAAGGGCAGTTAGAGCACTGTTGCTGTTTTATTACAGTCAGTGGGTAATGAACCAAAGCAACAAATCACGTTGGTATTTAATTGCAGAATTCAGTAATTTAACTGTCTGAAAGCACAAATGTTGACTTGATCACTGTTTTTGACAAATAGCTGAATTTAATCTTTCAGTAAAGTCTCTAGCGTATTTTCAGTGTTGACAATGAAATCATATTTTTCTCTTACTGAATAGCAGATAAATGTTTAAAATGTGGCATTTATAGAAATACAGTTTTGTGGTGATAAGCTTTAAGATTTTCCTTAGATATCAGGAAAAATTTCTTCTCCGAAAGTGGTATCAGGCACTGGAGTGGGCTGCCCAGAGAAGTGGTTGCGTTACCTTCCCTGGTGGTATTTAAAAGATGGGTAGATGAGGTGCTTAGAGACATGGTTTAGTGGTGGCAAGATAGGGAGCTCAACATAAGCACTAGACTGGCGACACTGGAGGAGAGAGGTGGGATATGTTATATAGGATCTTATAGAATAGTAATGAAGGAATGAAGAACTGTTCTCTTAAATCTCTTCATAAAATCGTGTCATTGATCCGGGTTTTACTGACGTTTTAAAAATTTTCCTTAGCTTGTTGCATTTAACTTGAAATTTCTTTTTTTGAAAAAATGCTTTCAAAGTTGCTTTAAGTTTTGTTTTCTTACTTTCCTTAGTGGTTAGTCTGGAAGAACACCAAGTGTTCTATAAAACAGCCTTTTTCTTCTTGTTTTTCAGCTGTAATGCAAGACAGTCGTATAAAATTATTAGAATTTGAGTCTTTCTAAAATGCAAATTTTGCCCTAAATATTTTTTAAAAAATGTTGTAAGCTTTCTTGGGACTTTCAGTATCGTTCCTCAGTGTATTCGTGTAT